GACCGGACATTGGCCCTACGAATATTCTCTACCTCCAACATGTACGTCTGCAAAACAAGAAGAACAGTCAAACTTATGCCCACTCCGCAATAAAGGAGAAATAAACTGAATTCTGATATAACATACCGTAAGCCCATCACAACCACCTCGTCCATCACTTCAACATCCGAAACACTCCTCAGGGACTCGTTTTCGGCCTCAGAACACAGTAGGCTGAATTGTGGTACCAGGCTGCCCCCTTGAGTCAACAAGTTCACGTCGGCAGAAATCTCAACGAGGCGGGCCGACCCCCCTGCGTTGACCACCGAGTGGGTAACGCCCTCCTCGAACATCCGAACCTCATCAGGGTCCAAGTCAGACTCAGACTCGTATTCATCGACCATTACACTCTTCCCCCTCTCCGCTGCTGAAGATGACAGCGGCGCACTCAAGGTCGCGACGGCAGCGTTAGGGGAACGATCCTCCGCTACAACGAGATGTTCTGCAACATCCACAGCGAGAACTCCCGATCGGGCTGTGGTAGTAGCAGAGTCCTCCTGGCCATGGCTAACGGGAGCATCTCCGACTATCCGCTTCCCCTCGGCGGTAGACGATGCAGCAACACCTTCCTCTGGGTTCGCCGGGGGAGAATCCAAGTTGATCACTGTCGGGGGAGCCATCTCGAAACCTACTCTCCGCCTCTTCAACGACCCTTCTTCCTCCCCGGTCGACGGCGAGTCAGCTTGAGGACGGACAATGCCAGATGGGCCCTCATCCCGAGACATAGTCTGGGTGGGAGTGGTAAAAGCCACTGACTCCACCGACACCACCCTCGACGAAGGACGAGCCGTAGGTACCGCACTGATACGAGCGGATGCAGCCGGACGATGGAACGCCAACTGAGGGGCCCTGACTCTGCGAACCCTCCCTAATCACGGCAAACAAGGCTCGAAAAGTAAGATCGATACAGAAGAAAGGTCAGAAAGTAAGGACGTTATCTCACCTGTAAGGGGCATGCGTCCGAATCTCCGATGAAACGTCACCCACGTACGAACTCCCGCTGTATGGGGAAGGATGGCCTCGACCCATTCTCGAATCTCCTCCAAAGGAGGCGGTGGTACCTTCTCAGCTGCAAAACATCGAGATAAATCACTATATGCAACACAAGATATAGGGAGGAAGAGACCGAAACAGACTCTGTTAGCCAAGGGCAGACTTACGGGCAAAATTCCACACTACCGAAAACCCAGTCGGGTCCGCCACGAGGTGCTCGGTCCGCACATAGAAAATATTATCAAAGAAACGGCGGTTGGTCCTGTCATCCATCTTGACCACCAAACCTTTCGACCCACGAGGACGCGCGTGGATCATTGTGCCGCGAATCCTTTGAGGAGCAAATAGGCTGAGCACGTGCCTCAGAGTGACCTCACGAGCAGCCAGCTCCGCGTACTTGATGAACATAAGGAAAAACTTGTACAAATAAGGAGAAATTTGGGCAGGGCACACCTCATAATAGCGACAGAAGTCGACCACCAACATTGGAAGCGGAAGTGTGTACCTCACAAGGAAGGGATAAGCGTAGAACGAGTAGAACCCGTGACGGTCTATCTGGACCCTTTCGTCCTTTATGGCCGGTACCATCTCAATGTAACTGGGAATGCCCCATCGCTCCCTCAACTCCTTTATTCCGACCTCCCCCATAAGGGGTTTAATATCTACATGCTCCATGCCCCCATCGGCGCTGAAGTCTTCCACCGCCTTCCCCGAGCGGAACAAAATTTCCTCTACTGAAGGGACCTCCTCGCTTTCCATCAGGTCGGAATCCCCGTCCGCCGGAGCGTGATCCTCAGTCGCCGGTGGGATAGCCGAAAGATTATCGTGAGAGGAAGTTCCCGCCATCGTTAACCCAGAGGAAGAGGAGGGAACTCTGTCGGAGAGATAGAAAGATTAAAAGAATGCTGCGAGAGAAGAGGCAAAGAAAAAGCTCAAATTGACCAAAAGAGAGATATCCTGAAAATCCTCTCGAAGACAAGCGAAGAAATGTGAGAGACAAATGACAAGGCTCATCCAATTTATAGGACACGAATTCTCTGAGCGCGAAAACCAACAGTCGCCACTAGGATCTGACCAGGCGTGAAACGATTTAGCTTCTCGGGAACATGCGCTATTATGACTACTTACACGAAGTGCTGCTCCACTTATCAACCGTCGTTTCAGCTTCGATACCGTCGCAACGGTACAAGGGTATCAGAGAGACCCCTCCGGGCCGTTCCGAAAACTCATGACATGACTAAGGAATAATATGCACATCAGACTCTCAATATGATTACGTCACAAACATGATCCGTCCGTCGAGATCGGTAGGATATGACCCCGACAGACGGAGGGACTAACTGTATTGGTCAAAATCTGACCACTCGACCACGGTGGTAATAACCCCGTCCCAACTACCCTGCAGTGGCGGCTAATGAACTCGACCTCGTCCGACCTGCACTAGTCACTAAACAAGTGTCGAGGTCGAGATCCCTCCATGAGGAGAAATCACCCCCTCGACCCGGCCGAGATAAGATATGAATGAGACATCTTCGACTATAAATAGAGGGCAGAAGACTCGAACCGGGGGGCTGATCCATCATTTCTTAATCATCCACTAGCATAAGAACATCTAGAGAGAGAGACTCCGAGAGAGGCGAGGGAGCCCAAAGGGAGAAAGAAAGGGAGATCTTCACATTCAACAGTTCTCGAAGAAGACAACAAAATTGTAATTTCCTGGACCTCTCCAAGGGGAGGCAGGATAAATTTCGATGATGAATAAAATCTCTCAATTATTATTTCTATTAAATCTTCCGTTTTACTCTTCTGTCTTTCGATCTGGTATTAATTATGATTGACTATGATTTACCCCTCCTTGTATATTGATTGATTTGCTTAAAAATTATTCGATAACTTTTTAAGTCAAACAAAAACGATTAGAATACCTAACTCATAAGTTTGAAATCCTGACCTGTCTCTATTTATATTAGTATTTTTCTTTTATCATCTTAATTCATAATCGCATCACATGCATAAAGCCTATTTAATGAGGAAGTCCGGAAGCGTTTTTACCAAAAAAAATTTCATTCACAAAATTGGAACTCAAGATCATAATAATTAAGGGTTGAGGAATTTCATACAATTCTACCAAATGCTCTGATTGTTGTTCAGCTTTTTTATTTCTTTGCTCCTTCCTTTGCAAAGTTTCCGTACCAAAACAAAGTTCAACTTTCTGCAAGTGGAGGATTTATATAAAGTTTTGATGCTAGCAAGTTTAGGTAAATGTCCTATACCTAAAAAGTTTCTCCACTCACTACAGTATATAGTTTGACCACATCTAATAGGAGGAAAAGAAAATGTACGTATCACGTGCCTATTAATTAATTAAGAGCATTAGTGATTAGTGGATTCCTAGCTACCTAGATCTATGGTATAATTAATAATGATATATGTCCTTTCTTATCTTTTAACACCATTTTTTTGCAAAAACCAGTGAACCCTATTTTTTGCATCCCTTCAACATAGCTAGGCCTATGTTATAATTAATACTACTAATAATGTCCCTTCGCACCTTCAACAGTGCTTAATTTGTTTGCAGGAACGCGTGAACCATAACTTCTATATTACCACCAGATTCCTTGCATTTTCCCTCTCCTATATAAAGAGACGCGACATTCGTTCTCCTGACCAATAACACAAGCAGTGGATTGAATACAGATATATGATGGAGAATCAGACATGGCGTGATATTGGTTTGGCTCATCACTTTCTGTTAAATTCATGAGACAGTCTAGAGATGATGAGCCGAACCACTATCACTCTTGTATGCTTCTGTAATGTGCCCTTATTATTATTCTCCTCTCTTTTTTCCAGCTTGGAAACAGACCATAATTTCCTCAGGCTATTATGATCTGTTCTCTTTCTTGTAATTGTTGGTATAGTTTAGTAGTTTTACCTGAGATCCAGCAAATGGCACTGCCGGTTCTTAAATCTCAACCTTGGATGCTCAAGTTGAATGGTCGGGGATCCCAGATTTTCGATCAACTTTTAATTTTTTTTTTACTAAACTCGCTATATTTTTAAAATTATGTGTTTGAAATTTAGTATTTGTTGAAATTTTATTCCGTTGGTTCACACACACACATATATATATTGCTCCTTAGCTCCTGTTAAATGCAGATATACGTTACGTTTGTAAGCAATTGTTTTTGTTAGGTCAACATATATAGCAAAGAAACCCAAGCGCTCGGCCTCTGGCGTCGATGAGTTCTAGGAGATTAAAGAACTCATCTTTATATACAGTTCGTAATATATATAAAGCATGCGGAAACGTGAAGTCTAATTTGGTCGATAATTTTGGAGAGATCTAGTCGAAGGAGCTTTTTTGATGGTGGAATATGGCTAGGATTGCGAGTTGAGGCAGAGGCGGATCTAGGATTTAAATTTTATGAGTTCTATTGAGATAAAATTATCTGTCCTTTTCTGTATATATTTTGTATGTTAGTTAAAAGATAGTTTAGTTAGTTGATTAGTTAATTGTGATACAACTGGCAGTAGTTAGTGGTTGAGATACACAGCTGTCAATTATATATATATATATATATATATATATGTATATACTGTTGTACATTTTCAATACGAGCTTGAGCTTCATTCTTCAACAGAACGTGTTCTTCTTCTGCTCTCATCTTTCTCCTCTTTCAGAAGCTTCCAGATTCAGCCATTGGAGCTGAGGTTGAGCTCCACTGAATTCATTTCAATCGCAACCTTATCATGGTATCAGAGCAAGGTTAATCCTTCTCGTATCTTCTCTTTCATTCCCTAATCCTCTCTTCACACTTTCTCATTTCTGATTTTGACCATAATTTGATCGATTTGCCCCAATTCGATCAGTTTTTCGGATCTCGCTGACCTACCGCGTAAAAACCTAAGAGTTTTTGTTTTTCGATTTGTTTTTCCCCGTCATATCCAACTGATTCAGTGTTCTAATGGCTGTTACTGATCAACAAGATGCGACTCCTACTAGTACGAGTGTCGCGGTGCCTCCGAGCGTGGGAATTGATCCAAGTGATCCTCTGTATCTGCATCCATCCGATAATCCTGGTGCGCTGCTTGTGTCTGTCCTATTTGATGGGATAGGGTATAGATCCTGGAGATGTAGTGTTCTTCGTGGATTGCCCGTAAAGAACAAATTAGGCTTTATGAGTGGGGAATGCAAACAACCAAATCCACAATCCCCAACTTATCGGCAGTGGGAACGATGTGACAACATGGTAACTTCATGGATTCTGAATTCTCTCTCCAAAGAGATTGCAGATAGTGTGGAATATGCGAGTGATGTTGTTGAGTTGTGGAAGGAGCTGGAGGATCGCTACGAACAAACCAATGGAGCTAGGCTGTATCAAATTCAGAAAGAAATCAATAATCTCTCTCAAGGAGCACTTGACATCGCTAGCTATTATACTAAGATGAAAAAGCTATAGGAAGAATTAAATACTCTGAACAAGGACTCAGTGTAGTTTTGTTTATAATTGTGGGGCAAAGGAAAGCATGTACAAAGCTGAACAAGATAGAAGATTGATACAGTTCCTCATGGGACTCAATGAAGTGTATACTATAGTCCGAGGAAGTATTCTTATGATGAATCCACTGCCTACGATGGCTCAAGCCTTCTCCTTACTTATCCAGGATGAAAAGCAAAGGGAGATCAAACCAAATAATCAATTGTCAATTGAGTCCACCTCTTTGAATGTGAACAGTTCAGGACCAAGTCTTTTCAGAACAAATTTCTCAACAAGCTACAATTACTCTGGGAATAACAGAGGTCGTCCTATGTGTGATTTTTGCAAGAGGCCAGGCCACACTAGGGATAAGTGTTACAAATTACATGGCTATCCGCAAAATGGACAGAATTCTGCACGATATCCTCAGAATGCCCAGAACTCCAATCAAAACTCTAGACACAACAGAGGAAAGAGGATGGTAACAAATGTACAAGGAGTGTCCACTGATGCAATGACAAGCAAGCTTGATGAGTGTGATGTCCAAGATGAAAATCAAAATGTAAACTTGACTAAGAAACAGTATGGACAACTTGTTAACCTTCTTCAACATTTTCAACTTGGCAATGATGGAGAGAACTCCAACAACTCAAATCCTACCAACGCTGTAAACTTTGCAGATGTTGTTATTTGCACATCTTCTATTGATTTTGGTAAACTCTCATGTGGATGCTTTGAATCAAAGATTGACACATGGATATTAGATTCAGGAGCCTCAAATAATATCACCTTTAACAAATCCCTGTTGTCTGACATTATAATCCTACCTTATCCCCTGTTAGTTGTTTTACCAAATAGTCGGTACAAAGTAAAAGTGACAGAAATTGGAACTGTAAAGCTTGCACCTGAGATCACTCTGTATAAAGTCCTTCACATTCCTTCATTCAAATTCAATCTTATTTCTGTATATTGGTTGAGCAAACACCTAAGAGGTATGACTTCTTTCACTGACAATACTTGCCTTCTGCAGGCCCCTTCACTGAAGAGGCCTCTGGAGATTGGTAGAGTCAAAGATGGGTTGTACCTGCTGTGCTCTCAATGTCTGAGAAACAAAAGTCTGGCTAACAAAACTGCTGTTTGTTCTTCTACTCATTCCTGTGATGTAAATAGTCATTTTTTGAATAACCTACATCCTCATGCATCTCCATTTGTAAATAGGTCATCCTTGAGTCATCTGCAGAGTCATCAATGTCCAATTGTAAATAGTCCATCTCTGAATAATAAGACTCACTGTTCTGTTTCCAATTCCTACATGTTTCAAGCCAATGATGTTAATCTTCTATGGCATAATAGGCTAGGACATGTACCTTTTGTGAAGATGAGAGGAATATCCTCCATACCAGTTTCCGTCTGTTCTAGACAACCTTTTGTTTGTTCAATTTGCCCTATGGCTAGATAGGGTAGGCTTCCCTTTCCTCAAAGGACAAGCACTTCAAATAAAAATTTTGAACTCTTACATGTGGATCTGTGGGGTCCTTACCATGAGTGCACATATGACAAGTACAAATATTTTATTACTATGGTTGATGATTTTAGCAGGTCCACTTGGACTCACCTGCTAATATGTAAAAGCAATGCCCTCCAGACCATCAAAGCTTTTGTTTCCTTGGTTAAAAACCAATTTAAGACTTCCATCAAGTCCATAAGGTCTGATAATGGACTAGAATTTGTTAACACTGAAGCTACCTTGTTCTTTCAGTCAAAAGGGATCATTCACCAAAAGACTTGCCCCTATACACCCCAACAAAATGGAGTGGTAGAGAGGAAATACAAATACCTTCTTGAGACAGCCAGAGCCTTATTGTTTCAGTCCAAGCTGCCTTTGAAGTACTGGGGGAATGTATTCTAACAGCCACTTACATCATAAATAGACTACCTACCACCTATCTCAAGAACAATTCTCCTTTTGAAGTCTTGTACAATAGCAAACCAGATTACTCTCAATTGAGAAGTTTTGGTTGCCTATGTTTCCCAATAGTGCCAAAGATCCATAGAGATAAGTTTGGACCAAGAACAACACCACATGTCTTTATAGGGTATCCCTTTGGCACAAAAGGCTACAAAGTGCTGAATTTAGCCACCAAAAGAATCCACATTTCCAGGGATGTAGTGTTTCATGAGTCTATTTTCCCCTTCACTTTCAGTTCCAAATCTTCCTCCTTTCCTTCAGTTCTTCATCCACTTCCTCTCAGTCCCACAATTGACACCAACACAGAGTCATTCTCAGAAGGGACTGTGAGTGATCAAAGGAATGCATGCAATACACCTAATGTTATGTCACCTTCCCCTACTAGTTCTTCTTCTTCCTCTGATCATTTATCCCATTCACCTACATCTATCACTGCAGGCTCACCACCAATACAGAATACCAGTATCCCACACATCTCTAATTCACCTCCAACACACCACACACCTGATCCAATTTCAAATTTGAAGAGGTCACTAAGAGAACACAAAACACCTATATACCTGAAAGATTACATATATTCTGTGCATCAACCAACCTTACACAAACAAACAGATGCACTTAAACATTCTGATTTCTCTCTGAATGCATTATTTTCTAAACATCATCATATTCTTATTAATGTTCTGGTTCATGATAGTCAATATTTGGTAAGTAGCATATGCAATGATAGTGAACCATCTTCTTTTGAGGAAGCTTCCATCAATCTTGCTTGGCAAGCAGCTATGGTTCAGGAATTTGAAGCTCTTTATGCCAACAACACTTGGGACCTGGTACCACTGCCTCCTGGAAAGAAGGCAATTGGGTGTAGGTGGGTTTATAAAGTGAAACGCAAAGCAGATGGAACCATTGAAAGATTTAAGGATAGGTTAGTAGTAAAAGGCTACACACAACAAGTAGGGGTAGATTACACAGAAACCTTTTTCCAAGTGGTGAAGATGACTACAGTTAGGACACTTATTGCAGTTGCAGTAAAGAATGGGTGGAACATCTTCCAATTGGATGTAAACAATGCATTTCTTCATGGTGATTTGCATGAAGAAGTGTACATGGAAGTCCCTCCAGGACTTTTGGTGGATAGCCAAGGTTTGGTCTATAAATTGAATAAATCTCTATATGGGCTAAAGCAGGCATGCAGACAATGGTATGAAAAATTAACTGAGGCATTATGTTCGAGGGGATATGAACATTCTATGAATGATTACTCTCCAAGAATATAGGGGACTCAGTTGTATATGTAGCAGTTTATGTGGATGATGTACTACTTACAGGGACAGACCAATCAGAAATCGACCAACTGAAAACTTTTCTACACAACAAATTCAAAATCAAGGATCTGGAAAAGTTACACTATTTCTTGGGCTTAGAGGTTCTATACAAGATAGATGGTGTTATTATTTCACAAAGGAAATTTCTCCTTGACTTACTGAAGGAGTATGACTGCCTGCAGTACAACACTCTTACTTCACCCCTTGATCCCAATGTGAAACTAAGAGCAAAAGAGGGGGTGCCTTTGACAGATCCCACTTATTACATAAAGCTGGTTGGAAAATTAAATTTCCTCACAAACACAAGGTTGGATATTGCCTTTAGTGTGCAACACCTCAGCCAATTCATGCAAGATCCTAGGGAGCCCCATTTGAAAGCTGCCTTCCATTTGCTGAGGTATCTCAAGGGTGATCCTACTCTGGGTGTGTTTATGTCCAATGATACAGACTGGTCAATCAAAGCCTATTGTTACTCTGACTGGGCAGCTTGCCCAGACTCAAGGAAGTCTGTTAGTGGTTATATTGTATTGCTGGGAAGTAGTCACATCAGTTGGAAATCCAAGAAGCAGGAAACAGTTTCATTGTCTTCAGCAGAAGCTGAGTACAGATCTTTGAGGAAAGTGGTTGGGGAGTTAGTTTGGTTGAAAAGGTTACTTGATGAACTAACAGTTCCCTCTTCTGCTCCTGTTAGAGTGTTTTGTGATAGTGAATCAGCTTTACACATAGCAAGGAACCCAGTGTTTCATGAACGCACCAAACATATCGAGGTGGACTGCCATTTTGTTCGAAAACAACTGCAGGAAGGTCTAGTTTCCCTGCATCACATTGCCACAATGACCAGCTTGCAAACATCCTTACCAAGGCACTCACAGGCATTAAGCATTCTACTGTTCTGAGCAAGTTGGCTGTGGTTTCCCCCCCTCCAACTCGAGGGGGGTATTGAGATAAAATTATCTGTCCTTTTCTGTATATATTTCGTTTGTTAGTTAAGAGATAGTTTAGTTAGTTGATTAGTTAATTGTGATACAGCTGGCAGTAGTTAGTGGTTGAGATACATAACTGTCAATTACATATATATATATATATA